TGATAGATTCCACCAAATTTTCTGCAAAGGTGGCCATGTAATCTGCGTGCCTTTTTCTTCTTGCTTTATTGCACTGGCTAAGCCTCCAACACAGACGAGGCAAGGGCAGGCCCCCTTGTGTAATCCCGGATTTTGGGTAGAAGGCGCCCGGCCCTCCCGTATTAAGTGTGGTGTCAGTTGTGGGTTTCTACCATGAATTGATGACGACTTCTATCACATGCTTTTCTGCATCTTTTAAGACTATCATATAGTTTTCCGTTCTCTTGTTAATGTGGGGAGCTAACACCGAATGATTTTCATATGTAAACAATCTCCCTATATCATCCTGTATTATACTATTTTATATAATGTTGAATTTTATTGTTAAAATTTCCTTAGAATTTTTACTTCCATATTTCTGAGGGACATTGATCTAAAGCTTTCTTTTCCTTTATCTTCCTTTGTATGATTTTAATCCTTGATATTTACTGACTTATTTTATGGTTCAGCATACGATCTACATTAGGGCATATTCTATATATACTTGAAAATAATGTGTATGCAGTTTTTACATACTATCATTCTATTGATATCAAGTAGCTTAAGTTGTTGATAGTATTGTTCAAATCTTCTAAATCTTTAATGTTATTTTACCCATTTGTATACGAGGTTACTGCGAGAGGAAAGTTAAAATCTCTAAAACTGACTGTGGACTTGCATAATTCTCTTTTTGGTATTCTCATATTTTTGATTTATGTATTTGAAGTACTGACATTAGGATCATAGAAAAGATTTTATGTCATTTTAATGAACTGATCATTTAGTCATTATAAAATGCTCTATCTCTGATAATGCTATTTGTCTTAAAGTGTACTTTGATTAACATTAACACTGTCACAACAGCTTTCTGATATTTAGTTTCCATTGTATATATTTTCCATACTTTTACTTTCAATCTCTACATGTCTTTCCAATTTCATGTGTTTTGGCTTTAATATAGTTATTTGTTATCTGTTTTCTGTTTTTATTAAAATTAAACATCTCTGGGGGTGTCTGGGTGGTTCAGCTGGTTAAGTATCTGACTCTTGGTTTCAGCTCAGGTCATGGTCTAGCTGTTTGTGACAGTGCAGAGCCTGCTTGGGAGTTTCTCTCTCTCTCTCTGCCCCTCCCCTGCTCGTGCGCATGTGCTCTCTCTCTCTCTCTCTCTCAAAATAAATAAATCAACTTTTAAAAAAGTTTTAAAAAATGAACATCTCTGCTTTTCATTTTGGAGGACTTAGTCCACTTCTCTGATACAAGTATCAGTATGGGTGGACTTATGTCTACTTTCTTGACATTTGTTTGATAGTCAGCCTGCAAGGCGCCCAAAAAGTCTGCACAGTAGCTTTGATAACATCTGATTATGGACTTCCTGTGCTTTATTCAGTCTCTGTTCATTAGAGAGATGACACTGGACAGAAAAAATAAGTTCTAGGTTTTCGTGCATTTTTTAATACTGAAAAGTAGCTATCTTTTCACAGAAGAAAAAAGCCTAAGCCTAAAATGCGACCAAGTGCCCACGTCCTGACTAAGCTTGTTACTATTGCGCCAGAGTGGCTGTGTGGCAGGGGGCCGCAGGGTCCAGGACCCCACCGGGGACGCTTGGGAGAGAGAGGCCTGCCCAGTGAACCCCGGTGTGAGGCCATCCTGCCTGGTGAGCCGTTAAGGACTATGTACCCACACTCCACAGACCGAGTCAGACGGATGGAGCGTGTGGGGAGGCGAGCGCCAGGCCCTCTCTCCTGACATGGAGCTCGGGCAGGGCGACGCCACTCCTGTGCCTCCGGACCCCAGGGTAGAGTCAGGGGCACCGGCCCTACAGCCTCAGGGCTCGGCACCCCTACAGCCCAGGCACGGGCTCTGGAAGGTCACAATGTCCTCCAGAACGGGGAGGCTGCCCTAAGAGGGATCCCAGCACACCTGTCCAGACACTGAGGATCAGAGCCGCCAGGTACGTGAGCCAGGGCTGGACCGACTCTGTGGTGAATCCCACTGACCAGTGTTTGGGGGCTGCAGACTCACCCATCTCACCCCACCTCAGGCTCAACAGGACCACTGAGGTGGCTCTGGCAGAGTCACTCCCCCACCTGGGAGGTCACGCCCCGGGGCCTCCCTGCGACCCCCCACCCCTGGGCTCTGCCTCGGCTCCCCTGCCCAAGTCACTCTTGGCACAGACCCTGTGACAGTCTCAGAGTCCTGGATGCCACAGTCCTGGGTTACCCCCCAGCAGGTGTGAACAGCAAGGCAATATGGCAGGGGAGCCAGGCCACCGGGGCCCCTCCACGTCCAGGGAGCAACTTCTATTCTAAACTGATGGCCGTTCCAGCGCACGGCCGAGTGACTAGATGGCCACGCTGGAGGGGAAATGTGATGCTGGGTTCAGGGTGAGCACGAGCACCGGCGGGACAGCTGGTGACGCTTCACCAGCACCCTCACTCTTGCCTGCATGCCTTCCTTCTCTGTTTCTGTCGCTGGTGGAGAAGGCCACAGACTGGTTAGGGATCGGTGAGCCGCCTCCCAGAGAAACGTCAGCCCTTTCCTTTTGAGCTTCTCCTGAGTCTCGGGAACTTGTAAGAACTGTCTTGACCTTCCCTCCTCCACAACCATCTCTGGGTCCCACACCCAGGGACGCAATGCAATGTCTCCATTACAGAAGCCAAGGCTGAGCATAAGGCTTCACGTTCCTTTTGATAAAGATGCGTCAGGGGACAAGGGAGGAAGATGAATGATCCTCTGTTTGTGCCAATGCCAGTCTCCCATCCTCAGGACTGGGGTGCGGAGTAAGTAAACAAGGGAGTTGGGTGGGCTCTGGGCGCTCCGTGGGGCTGGCACACCGGCGTCGTGAGCACAGCTGTGTCCTCCTCGGGAGACAGGCTCCCCGAGAATCAACAGACAGTTCCCAGACCCATGTTCACTGCGTTTCTGCAGGCGGCTTAGGACGAACAATGGAACTACCACTGACTGAGGCCTTTGCCACGAGCTCTGGGTGCACTGTCTCACCTCTCCTCATGGTGACTCTAGGCCCGTTACTACCCAACTACATGGCCAAGAACCCTGAGGTCAGAGAGGCTGAGCAGCTTCCCCGAGGCCACACAGCACTGGTGAGAGCTGGTTCTGAATCCCCTCCAAAGTGTCCAGAATCTCACCCACCATGTCTGTTCCCTGGACAACCCCAGGAAAAGGTCCTTGACGATGGCATCTCTCACCCCACGGTATCCTGCTGAGCGTCTGGCTCATAGAAAGTGCTTAGTCAGTCTCAGTAAATGAATAAAAAAATCTTAAGCTCAACATTTAGAAGAAAGTGTTAAGTGGATGGGGCTCAGCCAGGGTTACGGCCCGCATTGAGAAGCCGGCCAAGGGTCCAGGTGGGAGTGGGCCTTGACTGAGCACAGTGTGGGGGCCACCCTGCATTATCGTACTCGCTCCTGCTAGGGGCTCGCCTGTGAGGACTGAATCCGTTACAGCAGATGCCACGGGCTGGGCAAACGCATTCCCACGATCCGGGACGGAAATGTGACTGTGGAGGCGCTCCCAGCTGCCTCTGAAAGTGGCCTGGGGGCTCTGGAACCCCATGGCCTCAGTAGGCACCCTGGCCAGTGCTAGAACTCCCCATAGGGCCTCTGTGTCCCAAGGTGACTGCGAAATGAGGGCCGGAAGGTGAAGGACCTCGAGGAGGGGCGAACACAAGTAACAGGACCCTAGAGAAGCCTGGACAACAGACGTCGTTTCTCTGGGCTCTGCCCCTGAGATGTGGAACTGAACCAACCTCGCACCGCAGCCCACACCTAACTTGACCTCGCCTTGCGGGGCTACAGCGCCCGGTTCTGACGTGCCCACTCAGATTCCACTGTCGATCTCAGGTGGCTCAGGCCTCATTGGCGGTGTGCCCTCTAAGGGACCCTGTGTGGGCGCCGCCCACAGTCCCAGCCCAGAGCGGGCTTGAATAATTTCAGGGGCTTCTTGAGCAGAAAATAATTGAAAAAGGGACACACGTTGCTTCCCCCATATTTTCTGGGAAAATCTTCTGAGGAAACCCCAGCAGAGCGTCAGAGGAAAGGGACCTTCATCAGTCGTGCGACACTCACAGAAAGGAAAATATGTCAAATCCCAGACACTGGATGTAACTAACATCCGGCAAAAAAGTGTGCAGATCGCTGCCAAATACCCAACATGCCCACGACCACCTTGGACTCCAGCACTTTGCCCAAACCCCCCCCCGCCTCGGGATGCGTGAGGCCTTGACTCTGACCGTCGCTGCCACCCTGTCTCTGCTCCCTCAAGGTGAGTCAAAGTCCGCCAAGTCCAGTTTAACAAGCAGCCATTGTTTTCCATCTAAACAGCTGAAATTTGTAATTCTGTTTGCTTAAAACATTCTGAGCATCTTGAAATGGCTTGAGGGGATGCGGTGTTGGTAGAAAATGGACTTCTACCCAAGAGCCCGTAGCCTAGGCCCTCGGCACCACACAGGCTGCCCACCTAGGTCAGGTGAGCCTGGGATGAAGTGGCTTCCTGAGGGGTGGGCCTGGCAGTGTGACCCCAGCATAGTCCTGGGCTCGCTCACCAGGATCAAGGTCCCCTGGGCCCCTGACTCCAGCCCAGTCCCGGGTGTGCTCCCTCACAGCTGAGTGTGCACTGCTGTCCTGGGTCCGGGCGGTGTAGGTGGAAACAGCCTCTTTGCTGCCTGTAGGTGTCCTATCTGTACCTGACAGTGGGCTTTCTAGAGCTCCCGTGCCTGCTCCAAGGAAGACATCCTGAGCCCTTCACCCAGAAGGGACCTGGACCGCTGACTGGCTCGGCATGGCGGGGGGAGCCGCTGCTGGAGTGTTGTGTGCAGCTCGGAGCGGGCTCCAGGGGCATTCTCTGCACACGCCCTGACCACCCTTGTACCACCTCTAGCCCGGGACCCCGGGGAGAAACCAGGAAATGCCAAAGACCCACGCTGGAGACAAGCGCACGCCGGGACCTCAGAGCTCGAGGCTCACCTGCGCTGACGGCCTGTCGTGCCTGGTGCGGGGGCGCACGTCCGGCGCGGCCGCCTGCGACAGGGCCTCCAGGGAGAGCAGGTAGCGCTGGACGGCCCTGGCCAGACCCCCGGCGTCCTCCAGGCCGGCCCTCCTCTCCTCCTGCGCGCTCTGCTCCGAGGCTCTGAAACGCAAAAGGAAACCATGAGCCGGTCACATGTTTGTTCCATGTCGAGTAGCCGCCTGGGCCTCTGCTGTGCATGACAGACACGCACGCGGGCCGGCCAGGCGCCTGGGCAAGGACACAGGTCTCAGGCCAGAGGGGGAAGCCCGCCTCCTTGGCGCACATTAGCCTTGAACTTGAATCTCTCGTGTGCCTCCCTGCCTGGTGCCCTGACGCGTCTCCGAGCCACCGCGGGCACTTGCTGAGGGACCCCTGGAGAGGTCAACGCGGCCTCTGTGAGCACCGGGGACAGGAGACAAGCCTGCAGACAGAAAACAGCCAGTGCCTGCTGCAAGCCCGCTGCGAGGAGCAGAGGGCAGGGCTAGGCGGTAGGCGGGAGACACGGAGGCCCACGTGGAAGGGCGTCTGAGGTCTAGGGCTGGGGCGGAGCACAGGCAGAGGAGGCAAGAGCAGACCCGAGAGCCGAGAGCGGGTGCGCCGTGAGCGCCGGTCGGGGCAGCAGAACCGAGAGCTGGCCTCCTTACAGACGGGGCAGCCGGGGGTCCCACAGGCAGGGGCTGCTTTCCCCCAGCGGAGCCCTGGAATCAAGCCCTCCCTAGTCTCACCGCGTCCCGACACCTCAGCAAACGCCCCACACGCAAGACGGCGCAGTTGCAGGGAGCGTCTGCCGGGGGCTCACTGCTCGCGGCTGCAGGAGAGGGACCCAGAGCTGCCTCCCAACTCCCCCGGACGCGTGCGCACGCTGAGTGCCGGGGCACAGGGCAAGGCAGGGAGCAGGCGGCGTAGGCCCGTGGGCAGCTGACCCTAAGAGGAGGTGGAAGGGCCGTGGCAGAGAAATGTGGCAGAGGAAGGGGGTAAGAGTGGGCGAGGCAGGAAACAATTCTGGCCCGACCCTCGAGAAGAGGCCCGCCTTGCAACACCAGGGGTTTAGCTCATGAGGCCCAGGCTGAGCTTGAGACCCAGGGAACTGAGAGAGGACAGATGTGCACCATGTGAGCCACTAGGTTTGTGGTGATTTGTCACAGCAGGAAACTAATACGGCGCTATACATTTCTATGCTGTCACTACAGAAAAGCCACGTCCGGCTCACCACCTGTGTGGGCGGACCACACCAGGCACATAGGTTTGCATCTGCAGTGACAGAAACGATGCTTTCTGCCTTTTGTGCACATGGCGGCGAGATGCAAATGGTGCTCGTTCTGAAGCTGGACGCTGCTTCATGCCCGCGTGCCGACCTGAAGGGGCCGCGGCCAGGAGGGCAGCCAGGACAAGGCCAGAAGGCAGGCTGACCGACCCAGCACGCATGTGGGAGGTGCGAGGGTAACCGCTGGACTTACGCTCAAAGCCACGGAGAGCGACCGACTGCCCAGCAGAAAGAGGCGTTCTTCACAGGCCACACGTGGCCAGAACCAGGGGCACAGAGGAAGTGACCAGGTGGCACCACTACCAGCGGGGTCAGGGTCACAGGCCTTAACAGATCCAGGAAACTCATCTGGTCCCTCGGCGGCCTCCTGTCTGGATCAGCCCCCAGGCTTCCTGTTACCCACGGCCTCCCAGAGCCCCGGCTCTGGAGAGCTGACCTCCGTGCCCACCCACCTCCCAGCCTGGACCCGCCAACCAGAGCTTCCCAGCTGCTGACTGCCCCCAAAGGGCCACGATGCACCCGAAACAGGGCAGGAGACCAAGCAGCAAGCTCTCTCTCAGAGACCCCTCTGTTTCTGCACTCTGACACCCTGGCCCCCACGAGGAGCCTGTCTGATGATGAGTTCTAACACCGGCACCGTGTGCAATGTGGAGAGGCTGAGAACTTCCCAAATCACTGGGTCCGGGTTCCCTCCCTTTAAAAGCCGCCTGTCGGTTTGTGTTTCCCCCTGCATCGCGCTGTCTGCAGCCGGCTTTGCTGTGCCCACTGACAACACATCTCTGCAAATGCAACGCCAGCCACCTGGGCCCCCGCCATAGACCGCAGGGTTCACTTCTGTTCTTCCTCGTCTCTGTTCCTCGTCACACATCACACACCCCTTCAGGTTGACACACCCTCGTCACACATCACACAAACCCATCCACTCCCCCCTCATCTGAGTCATGCGCTGTCGTGTGAGATGGCCCAGGAGGCCTCTCCCCTCTGTCACCTGGAAGCCTGGTGACTCTGGAAAAGTTCACCAGGCCACATCACCTAACTGGTAAAAGCCCCAATCACACTGCAGTTCCCAGGACATTCATGCACCTCGTAGCTCAGAGAGGCCTTCCCCAGCCATCCAACCCGTGGTGAGTTCCATTCATGGTTTATTACATCACCCTCAATTATTTTCTTTGTAGCATTTGTTGCTGGCTGAAATGACTTTCTTCGTTTAAGGTGTACTTTTTGTTGCTGCATAGCCCTTCACTAGAATGTAAGCTGCTTGAGGGAAGGGGTCATGTGTCTCTACATTCTTCGTGTTCTCTGCTCCAAAGCCCCGAATTCACACAGAGCCTAACTCAGCAGGCACCGAAAGACTGCGTGTTGACTGGAAGAAGGAACTCGGATGCAGACAGTAAATTCTGGCTTAATGCAGAGTTAGCCCAGAACAGTAGCATTTCACATCATTAACCTGTTAAATGACACCTTTCCTGTAAAATCTAAAAATTATCACTAAAAATGAATTCAGGATAACAAAACTGATCATTGCGGTATAGTGGGGAGAGAGATGTGTGTGATCAATGACTTCTTTGGAAAGAAAAGGGTCTTATTTCCTTTTTTGTTTAAGAGAAAATGAGTTTTTAGATTATATAAGATATAATATTCCCAGTCTGTTAGGCCTCCTTGACAACCACAAATACTGTTTGTATAGAAAGAACCGGACATGTTTCCCATGGCAACTGTATATAACCTCAAATTGTGCTCTCTGTTCAATAAATGTGGCAGCTGATTTTTGAATAATAAATAATTATAAGCAATTATAAGCTCTGACATTTACATAGCCACATATGTGGGTGGGTTTTTTCGCCTACTAAATGCATTTGACCTTCATGTAAGTAAATACTGGTTTTTTAAAATTGTACTTTTTTTAATTATCTGCCAGAAGTACACTTGACGTTGAACAAGAATATCCCAGACTGCCAGAAAGCGGGTACAGCTTCCATGATGTCAACATGAGGTCTAGAAAAGCAGCACACACAAAGGGCAGAGGCTCATCTGCGGGTTTTCCCTTCCTTCCCATCCTTTCTGTGCCGATTTTTGTATTTAGAGAAACTCTGCTTTTAAGTAATCATTTGATTTTCACTTTTATTTGTAAGTGTACCAACTATGATAGAGTTTTGTGATAATTCTAGAAATAAGGCATTCTGATGTGCAGACAGAATAGCCATCAGTTCCTCAAGCACAGGGGTGAGGCCTCCTGGGTGGCTCAGTGGGTTGAACATCTGACTTCGGCTCCGGTCATGATCTCACAGTTTCTGAGTTCAAGCCCCACATCAGGCTCCATGCTGACCATGCAGACTGTCAGACGAGAGAGGCAGAGAGAGAGGGACTCTCTCTCTGCGTTCCTCTCTCTCTGCGTTCCTCTCTCTCTGCCTCCCTCTCTCTCTCTCTTAAAATATATAAACTTTAAACATTTTTAAAAAAAGAAAAGTAAAGCCATAAATTCAGGAGAAGGGGGAACAGAGCTCATGGCCTGAGAATGTATCAACTTTCCCCCATTCAGGGTTCTGGGTCTACATGTGTCTCTGTGTGTGTGAGTGTGCGTGCACACGCACGTTTCTGGGTACATCTATGTGTGTGCCTGTGTGTGTGTGCATTTGTGTGTCTGGTCTGTGTACATGTCTCGCAGGCTGGGTCAAGTTGTGTTACTGCAAATAAGATGCTCAATTAGCTAGCAGCCATACACACTGTTAGTGACCAGGAAGCAGCGTCTTAAGCATTTTACATAAACATGACAGTTTGTTACTGACATGCGGGTCTTTGGTGGGATTGTGACACATTTCAGGAAATGTGTTGGGGTTGTAGGTGTGTGTGTGACTCGTTCTAGATCTCCCACTTGAGGAAAGGAAAACAGGATCCTGGCTAATTTTTTCATGTAGAAAGTCTGACTTTCAAGAATGGATCACTGATGTTCATGTGGTATTTGTACATATTTCATAAAAACCTACAGAAAATCCTCTTGTTTGTGTTTAGTTACCTCAATTGACAAAGTTGTCCTGCTCTTATTTCTGATGCCTTTTCAAGCTACACCATATCGGACCTCACAGGTGATGGGGCTTCGTGGGCTGTGGTCTCAAACCACAGCTGGCGCTTCCCCGGCCATTACTGAAAGGAGGAAATCTCGTGTTCTATGATGTCGAAGTGCATTCTAACTGAAGTCAGTTTACTGCTCCGGCATTCTGTCCTTCTCCGTCACTAATTGCGAACCTCATAACGGTGCCTGTAAGTTGTCTTGTCCATCCTCCTGGCGTGTCCGCTGCAGTGGGTCTGTGTGTGACGCTGCCGTGTGTTACGGTGAAGAGTGAGCCGTCACTGTGCTGGGCAAGCCCGGAGCAGTGAACATGCAAATGGACCTTGCCAGTCATTGAGCTGGAAGTCGGTCAGAACCTCGTAAGTACACATATTCCACTTCAAAATGATGAAATCTGCTTTATGTTTAGGACTCCGCTGTTCTCTTTCTCCACAGACCTGCATGCATAGACCTTCGAGCTCCAGATAATGTAAGATGCCCTAAATTGTCACCCAAATGGCCAAAGAAAAAAAAAAAAGCCCAGACTGGGAACAAAGTCTTCACAGGGAGCTCGCAGCGAGCCCTGTTCCACTCCTTTCGCAGTCGTGGTGGCTACTGCAAAACCACCTTTCCGCTCTCCACGTAAAATCTCCATGACCACCTGACACAACGCTCCCGGGAAGCCTGGTGTGAGTCGCTGGAGCTCCACGCCGGCCGCCGGCCTCCTGCCCGCCTCCCCTGGCTCTCAGGGGGAGCAGAGGGCAGGCTCAGATGCCTGCGTTCTCAGCGACCCCTCACGCTTCACCTCCGTTCCTTATGTCCAACAGCTAATTACTGCTGGGCCTACTTTCCGGGTTTCGCACACAGTGCTCACTCTGGCCAGCACAGGGGCAGGGCTGGGCTTCCTGAAGGTGATTCTAAACCCATCCAGGCAGGTTAATCTCTCTGAAGGTCAACTGTCTTGTATGAAGCACGCCAAGTATATCTCACTAGCCAGCTGTGGATACTGACAAATCTACCAAGTACAGAATGCTCTAGAAATGCCCTGTGGAATGAAGAAAGTGAGGAAGGACTCTTGGTTGGTGTGGTTACCCGTATAATAGTTCAAAAGTGTCAGCAGGTCATTCGCTTTATCTTTCCTTCACTAATTCAACAAATACTGATCATATGTCAACCTGGTAAAAGGCACATGCCAGGGGCTGGGGGTCCCTGGGCCAGAAATGGCGCCTGGAGAGGGCACCAGGGGGAAGGCAGGCAGGGGCGTAATAACGTGGAAGATACTGATCTCTTCACCAATAATGACGTAAACCTTCACTTTAAAAACAACTGCAAATCCAAGAGGTGATGGTCACAACTCTAAAGACAACCAAAGAAAACAATTCGCCCTCCACGAAGGAAAAGGGAGCAGGCAGGGGCCGCGGGGCCTTCACCAAGCTGCCCGGGGGGCCGAAAAAGTACCAACCGGCGCTGCTCAGGAAATCCACGTGTAAAACAGAAAAGTCCAAAGGTGACATTTTAAAGCACAGCCAGATCATTTAGGCGGCGAATAAAAAGGGAGAAAGCAGGAGTGGCAATACTGATTTTAGAAACATGGAACCCAAGACAAAAACCATGAAAGTCAACAAAGATACCCTTTGAAAGCGACCGGGGGTACGGCAATCACCAATAAAGGCGCAGCGCAGCAGCCTTCACGTGCCCGAAGCCAGAGCTTCGGTGTTTAAGGCAAAACGTATTAACCACGAAAGGAAAATTTCCAGAAACAGTTTTGTCTGAGAAATTTCAGTAAGTCAAATATGATTAAGGACATACAATAAACTATATAAAATTATAAATTATATGTAAAAATTCTGTACCCTGCAAATAGTGGATACAATCTCTTTTTGAAGTATCCATTCCGAATTAATAGCAAGATGGTATAAACCTCAAGATCTCCAGAAAGTAAAAACTGAACAAGTCACATTGTTGGACTAAAATGAAATAAAACTAGGTGCTAATTTCAAGTTTGAAAATGACATAAATATGAAAAAAACATGTACTTACTATGCCCAAAGGGTATAAAATTACAATGACAGATAATTTAGAGCAAAAACAAACAAGTGTATGTCAGTCACAGGATGGTGCCAAAGCTGTGTTCCAAAGCTAATGCACAAACTTTTGTAATTTCATTACTTTTAAAAAAGCGAGTAAATAAAAACATGAAAGAAAAGTTCCACTCAAGAAGTTTTATAAAAAACAGTAAGTCTAGGAGCGCCTGGGTGGATCAGTTAAGCGTCCAGCTCTTGACTTTGGCCCAGGTCCTGATCTCATGGTTCATGAGTTTGAGCCCCGAGTCGGGCTCTGTGCTAACAGCTCGGAGGCTGCTTGGGATTTCCAATCTCTCTCTCTCTCTTCTCTCTCTCTCTCTCTCTCTTTCCCCCCTCCCCCACTCCTGTGCACACATGAAAGATCTCTCTCCGTCTCAAAATAAATAAACAACCATTTAAAAAAAACAACAGTAAGGGGCGCCTGGGTGGCTCAGTCGGTTAAGCGTCCGACTTTCGCTCAGGTCATGGTCTCGCGGTTCGTGGGTTCAGGCCCCGCGTCGGGCTCTGTGCTGACTGCCAGCTCGGAGCCTGGAGCCTGTTTCAGTCTGTGACTCCCTCTCTCTCTGACCCTCCCCTGCTCACGCTGTCTCTCTCACTCTCTCCTAGAAATAAATAAAACATTAAAAAAAAAAAAAACACAGTAAGTCTAAGGATAGTAGAAATAAGAAAATCCAAGAGATAAGTAATTTTAAAAAATCATGTTAAAAGTGTGAAAAGAAAATTTATGTTAAAAATGACAAGAGTGACCACTACCTACATGTTGAATGGATCTTTCAACTATAATTCAATTCTATGTATCACAAGTAAGCAAAAGTGGAAGGCCCTGTGAAAAGGATGATAGTTCTCTGCAAAAATGCAATGCCTCAATTTCACACAACGAGCACTGTGAGTATATTTTACCAACAGTCCTGGCAGACAATGAAAGTGTTATGAGATATACCTACAGAGAAAGATTATAAAAAAATATGTACACTGGGAAACGGATCATTTCAATGCTAAAGAAAGTTTTGCAGGAATTTTGTGAAGAGGGGAAAGCACTGGCTGTAGCACGACGGCCGTCTGACCGTGACCCCAGCGCAAGGAGGGCAGAGCCAACAGCACGGGACTCCGTGGCTCTGCTGTGGCTGCTGAGACGGGCCTTCGGGCAGAGCGCCACCAGGAAGAGGCCGCACCCTGAAGCAGGATGTCCGCGTGCCTCAACGAGGCAGTACTGACAGGACTGCGAGGCACAACAGACACGACCGTGGCGAACCACGGAGGGTCACGGGGTCAGACACACCGCCCGGGTCCTGCTACCGTCCGGACCCCCTCTTCTCTGCCCTCTAAGCTGGGCTGATCCCACTGGCCAAACCCAGCCCCGGCCCGAGGACACGGGCACCTACTCACACAGCCCCTTGGGGGCCAGAGCCAGGGGTAAGATGGACGGGAACGTGGAGAACGTCCCATTGAGTCCTCCAAAACTGGGGCTCTGCCTGCAGAGCTGAGGTGATTGTTTACTTAGGTTCGACACTCTCAAAGACAGAAATGAAAAATCCAGCACAGAGAGAGCTACGGGAGCTCTGTTTTCATGAGCAACTGTACCGAGTGCCATCTACGTACAGACCAAAAAGATAGCTCTCCAGGATGGGATCAGTGAAAGGTTGCTAGACTCGAATACAAAGGCTCTACATGGAAATAGACAACACAGAAAAATTAAAGAAATACTTTTCATATGGACAAGGATCACGCATAGGAAATCCACAGAGAAGAAAATTCCAATCTCTAATACGGATGTTTTTCATCTCATTTGCTAAAAAACAAGGATAATGTGTCATTTTTCATAATAAAACTGGCAATTTTTACAAATGACAATAGTGACATTGATAGCAAGCTGGTCATCCAGGTGTCTGATCAGCAGCCTCCCCCCATCTGCAAACACGGGTCTTCGGGGGATGCTGTGCTCTGGCCGTTCCCTCACCTCAGCTGTGACTCTCTGGAGTAACTTAAGGAGTTACTCTTTGCTCACAGTGGGGGTCAAGGTTACCTGGCACAGGGAACCTCGTCTTAGTGAAGCTAAATCTCCCCTAGGAAGGAAGGAGCGCAGGCAGCACTGAACCAGGCCCCATTTAAAGACACGCGCAAAGAGTATGAAATCATCTAAAACAAAGACGGAAACTCAAGATAGCTTGGCTTTGGTTTTTGGGTTTGTTTTTCTTACAGAGAAGCCCTCCACACACTCGCAGACCCTACTGGCATATTCTCTTCGACAAAGGAGGCCTTCAAGGCAGACGGGCCGGCACAAGACAAGGACACGCCCCACCCCAAGACACCGGGTCTGGCCGGGGGCGGAGCTAACACGGCAGCGTGTTTTCAGCGCGTACAAGCCCTTCACGCGGGCTCGCTCACCTAACTTCGCTGGTTTGGACATGAACCCTGGGGTGGCTTAGCTCCTCCGCTTATTAGAGGAACATGCGCTAAAGGCAGATGCCCACATTTTTGTGTAACTGAGATTTTCCCGACTAAAGTTTCAAATAGTCTCCTTCTTAGGGGAAAAAATGGACTTTCCAAACTTTCTTAAGCCCATGGGGAAGGCCCTTCACACATTTTACAAACTTGAAGAGGCACGGGACAATCCCAGCCAGCTCACTGTGGCCCGTCTGCTTTGGACGACGTCTCCAACTTCTGGCCGGGAGGTCAGGGGCCCCCACAGTGTGCAGTGAGGGTAAGAGGAGACGCTGCAGAGTGAAATCCTCAGCGCAGCGCAGGCTGCTAGGCTCTGGCAGCGGGAAAACTTTCATGATTTAATTCTGCTTTTTGTACTAAGGTGAACGTAACTTCTTACTGGGAAATGAGAAATCTTGACTTCTCTGCTTTCAGCCAAGATGCAGGGTTTTCCAAGGATCTTGAGAAAGCGGGGGAGGGCCCTGGGCTGTCTGTGGACGGCCCCTGGCAAGACTCACCGAGGAAAGGACAGCACCCACATGCTCCGCATCGCACTTTCCAACTCTCCGGCCCCCTACACCCCAAAGACACTGGCCGTGGCCACAGAGCAAGGGGACAAACCATTCTACTTACCTGGCCATGCTGGGAGTGTCCAGATGCCGCGGGAAGGGGAAGTTTGAGAGTTCCTGGGCCACCACGTGCTGGGCGAAGTCGTCCTGCCACGGGAAGCCTGGGGACAGATGGTGCAAAAGCTGCATTATCAACACGGAAGGCGAGCCGAAGCTCTTGTTCCGTCACAGGAGAAACTGCTGCTGTTTCCAAGTTTTCATGCAATCCCCCAAGGCGCTCACCGCGGTCTATTCATAAGGCCTTTTCCTTACAGCAATTCCAGCCTTCCGAGACACCTAGACCAGAAATGCGACTAGGCGTAGCGGTGCCCTGGCGGGGCAGCAAGGGGCCCTTTAACCACGTGCACATTTCAAGGGTTTGTCCCCCACAAAAGAGGCAGACTTTCTCACGGAAAGGCTCTGGTCGTAGCAAAGACATTCTCAACACAAACGGGCACACGTTTACCCACCACTGATCTGCCATCCTGCTTGCTCCCTGCCACGTCTCGGGCGATTCCTACAACTCCGTCCTGCCTAAGAGCCACGCATTTGTAATGAAGTAAGGGTGCTGTTACTGTGAAGGCAATTATCATGGGGCCTAATGTGCTGTATCTGGGAGCCAATTACATTATATTTATACTCAAATGTTATGACAAAGAGCTTTATAACAAGAGCGAAGTAGTTATGAAGGCAAAATGCATGTGATTATGCATTAATTACATGCACTGCAGATCACATGATAATTATGCTCAGAATTACCAAATAACTCCCAAGAATAATTATTATGCAATTTGTACATTTTAGATCTTATGGTAACACTTTAGCACTTGGAACTACCCCATGCAATTATCCATAATTATCTAATCACTAGATATCATGTAATTACAGAGATATATTTTTATGCCCTGTTCAAAAACACATTACCAAAATCTTCAAATCAGGATGGCTCCATGCCTGTTTGTGTGTGTGCGTGAGTGTGGTACACGGAGGTCCAGCGTGTGCATGAGTGCGGTACACGGAGGTCCAGTGTGTGCGTGAGTGCGGTACACGGAGGTCCAGCGTGTGCGTGAGTGCGGTACACGAGGTCCAGCGTGTGCGTGAGTGCGGTACACGGAGGTCCAGTGTGTGCGTGAGTGCGGTACACGGAGGTCCAGTGTGTGCGTGAGTGCGGTACACGGAGGTCCAGTGTGTGCATGATTGCGTTACAGGGAGGTCCAGTGTGTGCATGAGTGCGGTACATGGAGGTCCAGTGTGTGCATGAGTGTGGTAGACAGAGGTCAGGAACTTGCTGAGAACTCCATGAAAGTAAAAACAAAAAAAAAAGGGCTCTGCAGATATAAGCTGCCTTCAGGAACACACTTGAATTCTTTTTTCAAATGCAAATCTAACTTTTTTTTTTACATTTACAAATGGCAAGATTCAAACAGTTGGAACATTTCTGAATCTCAAAAGGCTCTATGGTGTTACCCAAAGGGGAAGCTGATGGGGATATTCACCAAACAGGCCACCCTCCTGCGGCCACTGGTTCTACACAGCTCTGTTCGAATACAGCATTTAGAGAATGGGGCGCTGCAGGGAGACCGAGCCCCACAGTCACTGTTACCCTTACTTTAGGATCAAATGTACTTAATAATAATCAAGTACCTTCCATTTGCCAAAAGCAACTAACAAAACCACTTTGAAGTGTACGCTTATGTGGCTATTAACCGTTGCTTCCTAGCAGTCTTCTCAACTGAAAGCACATGTGCAATATTAGCATAGTATCTAGCACTGTAAATTGAAAAAATAAGCATAGTTTAACCATGCCATTCCCAAAAGGGTGGTCTTAATATCTATCAGGAAACAAAAAATGATAAGCACAAAAGGAACTTCCTATAAAAAATTTTCATTTGTAACATTTAAAATAACAAAACTTCAATTATATTTTTTAGTCTCAAAAGCACAAGTGCTCTCTTCGGCAGCACCTGTACTGTAAGCACAGAGCCTGAGCCAGCTCAGTGCTGGGGTCTGTAAAGAGGGTTCAATCGCAACAGGTGGCCAACTGATACAGGTGTTCTGTGCAGGTAATCTCAGGGGCCCCCGAGCCCCTCGACTGACCTCTAAGCTTTCCTGGGAGCAGGCAGAAACTGGACCCTCGGATACAAAACCAAAGCAATGCCTGCATTAGGGCGTTAGACATTCTCCCTGAAGGCCTCTCAGGGCTGCTGAGAGCATAGAGCCCTAGGAAGAGAGACGGCGTCCAGGGAGATGGAGAAGACACACTCTTCCCTACCCCTCGCACCCTCTCCCCTAACCCTTCCCGCTAGGCACGACTAAAACCCTGGAGATTATATGCACAGAAGGCTTTGAGGGGTGGACAGAAGACAGACTTCTGGGGTCCTGGGAGTCTGAGGAGCCACGGTTGTGGGGTTCCCTGGGCTGTCCTTTGGCCTTATGCATCTCACACTGCAGCTGAGCCAGCCAGCTTCCGGGGAGCACCAATGCAGATGAAGCCCCGACCGAGGCCACCTCTCCCCGGCCAGCGGCCCAGGAAGGGGCTACTTAGCACATTTTAGACAATAACAGCTCCACTCTCATCAACCATGACCACAAACCCCACAGCCCAGCCTGTACCCATGCCAACAGAGGCCAAGAGGGAGGCTGGGTGGCCTCCCTTATGAAGCTGGAATGAGGCCGCTGACCTCCCCTGACCCTGCCGGGCTGGCAGAGCAGACACGTAGGGGACAGGTGGTCTACCCCCTCCCGTGTCAGTGGAGACCACGTAAGGAGTTCAGACCCCCACCCATCCACCCTGCCCAGCATACAGACAAGACTCTACCGCACAGATGTAAGCAGAAGTCTAGAGGTAAACCTGGACTTCCACTCCCATGTTAGCAACAGAGGCCCCACCCACCCACCCACTTGGCAGAGCAGTGTCAGAAAAAGCCGTTAAAATGCAAGGCTTAGGGTCGCCTGAGTGACTCAGTCAGTTAAGTGTCTGCTCTTGATTTCAGCTGAGATCATGATCTCACACTCTGTGAGTTTGAGCCCGGCATCTTGCTCCACACAGGCAGTGCAGAGCCTGCTTGGGACTCTCTCTCTGTCCCTCCCCCACTTGCATGTTCTCTCTCAAATTAAATAAGTTTTTTTTTTAATTTTTTTTTAATGTTTTATTTATTTCTAGGAGAGAGAGAGAGAGACAGCGTGAGCAGGGGAGGGTCAGAGAGAGAGGGATCACAGACTCTGAAACAGGCTCCAGGCTCTGAGCTGGCAGTCAGCACAGAGCCCGACGTGGGACTCGAACCCACGAACCACGAGATCATGACCTAAGTGAAAGTCGGACGCTTAACCGACTAAGCCACCCAGGCGCCCCAAATTAAATAAGTTTTTTAAAAAACAACAACGCAAAGCTTAAATGAGATCCAGAGTCTCATAAAATAACACAAAAGTGTCCAGGTTTCAACAGAAAATCACTCGTCATACCAAAAACCAGGAAGACCTCACCTGCAGACACTAACACTGAGGCCTGAAGGGCCAGCATTACCTACCCAAGACTGTAAAGCAGCCATAATAAAAATGCTTCCAATAAACAATTATGAACATACTTGAAAGAAATGAAAAACTAGAAGCCTTAACAAAGTAACAGAAAATCTAAGCACATAAATAAATATAAAAAGAACCAAATGTAAATATTACAACTGAAAAATACAATAACCAAAAAGAACAGCTCAGAGGATGCACCGAATAGAAGGATGAGGGACAGAGGAGAGAGTCAGTAAACTAGACGAGAGAACAACAGAAATCACCCAATTTCAGCAACAGGGAGAAAACAGTATAAAAAAAACGGACAGAGCCTCGGGGAGTATGGAGCTATAACAAGAGACTAACATTCACAGTGTCAGAGTCCCAGAAGGGGAAAGAAAGAAGGTAGGGCTGAAAGGGCACTCAAAAACATGGTGCCTGAAAATTTCTCAACTTGGGCAAGAGATATAGACGAAGCTGAGCACCCTAACAGGGTAAATCCGAATCTCCTCCAAGACACATGGTTAAAATGCTGAAAACTAAATGCAAAGACAAAATCTCGACAGCACCCAGAGAAAAATGACAACTTACCTATGAGGGAAACACAATCCAAACTACAAGGGATTTCCCATCAGAAACCACAGAGGCCACAAGGAAATTGTACAATATTCTTCAAATGCTGGAAGAAACAAAACACAGCCCCAAATCCTGAAAATCTAACAATCCGCATGCCCATCAAAAATATCCTTCACAAGGAGCACCTGGGTGGCTCTGTTAGTTAAGCGTCTGACTCTGGATTCAGGCTCAGGACATGATCTCACCGTTTGTGGAATCAAGCCCTATGTCAGGCTCTGTGCTGACAGCACGAAGCCTGCTTGGGTTTCTCTGTCTTCCTCTCTCTCTGCCCCTCCCCTGCACACTCTCTCTCTTTCAAAGATAAATAAACATTTAAAAAATATATAGGGGTGCTGGGTGGCTCAGTTGGTTGAACGTCTGACTTCAGCTCAGGTCATGATCTCTCAGTCCATGGGTTTGAGTCCTGCGTTGGGCTCTGTGCTGACAGCTCAGAGCCTGGAGCTGCTTTGGAATCTCTCTCTCTCTCTCTCTCTCTCTCTCTCTCTCCACCCTTCCCCCACTCAAACTCTGTCTTTCTCTCTCTTCCTTAATTAAAAAAAAAAAATATATATATATAATATATATAAAATATATTATATATATATCTCCTTAAGGAATGACAGGGAAATTAATATACTCTCAAAAAGGAGAAAATGAAAGCATTTTTTTTTACAGCATACTTGCCCTAAAACAACTGCTAAATGAACATATTTAAATTGAAAGGTGAAGATAGAAGAAGGAAACTTGGAATATCAGGAAGGAGAACAGAATGTAAAAAGTGAAGATGACTCGCTTTCCTTCTCTGGAGTTTTATACATTATGTTGGGTAGTTGAGGCAGATATGGTAACACTGTCTGTTGTGCTTTTAAATGTATGTAGAGGAAATATTTAAGATAATTATAATAAACAGGGGGGAAGAGCCATAAAGGGAGGTAAGGCTTCTGTACCCTAGTATTAATTGGTAAAATAATGGCAGTATACCGTGATTAGTTCCGTATATATAATG